AACGTCAGCCACATTCCGTGGAATGTACAAGGGTTGTTGGAAAAGTTCGTAGATGAACAATGCCCATTCATTAATTTTTTTTTATAATACTTGACATTTATTTTTAGCTCACCTGAGCCAAAGGCTCAAGTGAGCTTTTCTGATCAAAATTTGTCCGTTGTCTGTTGTTGTCCTTGTAGTCGTTGTTGTCGTTGTTTTCGTTGTCGTCGTTGTAAACTTTTCACATTTTCATCTTCTTCTCAAGAACCACTGGGCCATTTTCAACCAAACTTGCTACAAAGTATCCTTGGGTAAAGGGGATTCAAGTTTGTTCAAATGAAGGGCCACGCCCTTTTCCAAGGGGAGATAATCATGAATTTGTTAAAAATTAATGGCATTTTTAAAAAATCTTCTTCTCCAAAACCGCTGGGCCAGGAAAGATAAAACTCAAGTGGAATCATCCTCAGGTAGTGTAGATTCAAGTTTGTTCAAATCATGACCCCCGGGGCAAGGGTGGGGCCAAAATGGCCGACCCAAGTTTTACATAGGAATATATAGGAAAAAACTTTGAAAATCTTCTTCTCCAGAACCAGTGGGCCAGGAAAGATGAAACTCATGTGGAATCATCCTCAGGTAGTGTAGATTCAAGTTTGTTCAAATCATGACCCCCGGGGCAAGGGTGGGGCCAAAATGGCCGACCCAAGTTTTACATAGGAATATATAGGAAAAATCTTTAAAAATCTTCTTCTCCAGAACCAGTGGGCCAGGAAAGATGAAACTCATGTGGAAGCATCCTCAGGTAGTGTAGATTCAAGTTTGTTCAAATCATGACCCCCGGGGCAAGGGTGGGGCCAAAATGGCTGACCCAAGTTTTACATAGGAATACATGTATATAGGAAAAATCTTTAAAAATCTTCTCCAGAACCAGTGGGCCAGGAAAGATGAAACTCATGTGGAATCATCCACAGGTAGTGTAGATTCTAGTTTGTTCAAATCATGACCCCCGGGGCAAGGGTTAGGCCAAAATGGCCGACCCAAGTTTTACATAGGAATATATAGGAAATATCTTTAAGAATCATTCTCAATTACCAGTGGGCCAGGAAAGATGAAACTCATGTGGAATCATCCTCAGGTAGTGTAGATTCAAGTTTGTTCAAATCATGACCCCCGGCCCTGGGGATAGGATGGGGCCAAAATGGCCGACCCAAGTTTTACATAGGGATATATAGGGAAACCTTTTAAAATCTTCTTTTCAAGTACTTCAAAGCTATGATTAGTGATATTTATATGGAATCATAGGTAGTGTAGATTCTAGTTTGTTCAAATGATGAACGCCTGGAAGGGGGGGGGGGGTAGTAAATTCAAGCCCGATGTGCTCAGGTGAGCGCTGTGGCCCCTGGGCCTCTTGTTTAAAAATTGGTCTCATTGTATAATTTCCTTTGTTAAGGTTTTTATTACTTTTAGCACTTAACTCTGCTTTCACAGGATAAGCAACTCTGAAGCGCCTTTGTCTTTCATTTAGGTTTCAAATTTTTAGGTCAACTGAGTCACTCAGGTGACCTATTGCTATCCATTTTCGTCCGTTGTCGTGTGTCGTACGTCGTGTGTTAACATTTGAACATTTTCAGCTTCTTCTCTGAAACCACTAAACCAATTTCAACCAAATTTAGTATACAGCATTTATGGGTGAAGGGAAACAAAAATTATGAATTTCATGGTCCCTGCCCCCCTGGGGCCTGGGGGACGGGGCAAAAACCACTAAAATTATTGCAATCTTTAAAAATCTTCTTCTTTACTCCTGGACATCAAGCAGGCAAACTGTTGTTATGAATGTTATGAGCACTGAGTCCTCTACTCAAATTTTGAAATTCATGGCCCCAGGGTCAGGGGTTCTAGAGCTAGGGTGGGGCTATATAGATTATATAGTGAAAATGCATGATTTCTTTGAAAATCTTCTTCTCTGCTCCTAGGTATTAAATAAACTAGCCAAGCACATAGTTATGATGAGCAAGAGTGCCTCTTCCAAAATTGTGAATTTTATGACCCCAGGGTCACGGGTTCTGGTGTTCGGGCGGGGCTCTATTGGTTATATAGTGAAAATACATTTATTCTTTGAAAATCTTCTTCTCTACGTCTGGGTATTAAAAAAACTAACTAAGCACATAGTTATGATGAGCAAGAGTGCCTCATCCAAAATTGTGAATTTTATGACCCCAGGGTCAGGGGTTCTGGTGTTAGGGCGGGGCTCTATTGGTTATATAGTGAAAATGCATTTATTCTTTGAAAATCTTCTTCTCTACTTCTGGGTATCAAATAAACTAACTAAGCACATAGTTATGATGAGCAAGAGTGCCTCTTCCAAAATTTTGAATTTTGTGGCCCCAGGGTCAGGGGTTCTGGTGTTAGGCTGGGGCCCTATTGATTATATAGTGAAAATGCATTTATTCTTTGGAAAGCTACTTCTCTGCTCCTGGGTATTAAATAAACTAACCAGGCACATAGTTATGATGAGCAAGAGTGCCTCTTCCAAAATTGTGAATTTTATGACCCCAGGGTCAGGGGTTCTGGTGTTAGGGCGGGGCTCTATTGGTTATATAGTGAAAATGCATTCATTCTTTGAAATTCTTTCCTTTGCTCCTGTGTTTAATGCCAATGATCCAAATATATATATTCATGATGAAGAAAGGTGCACCTAGCAAAATGGTTATTTTTATGCCCTTGCCCCTTCCCTGGGTCAGGGTGAGGAGGGGGGGGGGGTGTACAAAGTCTGAAAATAAATTAATGCTTTGAAATTTGCTCTGTGGTGTCAATCAACCATTTTATAATAAAATTTGCAAAATTTTGAAATATGTGGCCCCAGGATCAGTGGTTCCTTTGGGATAAGGTGTACAACTGGTTATAAAGTGGAAGTGCATTTTCTCTTAATGTTACTCTGATCTACCTCTGGGTATTTAGTAAATAGAGTTAGCATGCTAAGTCTAAATTATTATAAGCAATGGTACCTCTTTCAAAATTGTGAATTGCGAATTCCATGGCCTCTGGTTTAAAACATGTACCAAATTTAATTGTTTGAAAGTTGTTGCACAATACTCAGGTGACCTATAAGGCCCGTGGGCCTCTTGTAAAGTTTTGTTCAGATGTTTACAGTAAAACCGTTTCTTCACATGTTATCCTCATCTCTGTCACTCAAATATTGTCTGTACTATTTGTACACACATGCACAACTCGCTTGTGACATATTTTCTTGATTCCTTCAACATTTTCAGAGTTTAATCAGGAGTTTTCCTGCGAAAAACACAAAATGGCTTCGGTATCTGCATCGTTTTTGTCGTTTTCAATAAGGACTACTTATCTTCTTGATTTCTTTTCAACAAAGCAAAATATAAAACCATAATTTGGTACACATATCGATGGAACAATTCTTAAATTGAATTTCTAGGTAGTTTTTGTTTTTCTTCCATTTTACAGAGAATATGATTATAGACATTATTTATTGTATTGTCTGGAACTGACTAAATTTTGACCTGCTCAGCGATCCGATTTTTGCATTTTTAAAATCTGGATAAGTTTTTAATCAATTCTAATATTTTGTCAAAATTAATACATATCATTTGGATTTATTGTTAAAATATTTCTACCAAATTTGGATAACATATGACATCAAATAAAAAAGTTGTGACAGTTGTCCACGAACTTTTCGAACTACCCTCGTCTAATTTACTAGTTTGCGAAAGAATTAAGTTTCAAAACACATGAATTCTTGTACATGTGTTGGTTCGAGGATAGTTTCATCAGAAAATGTCTGTTGCTTTTATCGAAAAGTATCCGTTTCAATGAAAAGGGTCCGTGTATACACCGTGTTCTTTTGAGTGCTATGGCACAATGGACCGAAAACTTGAGATGTGCACACTAAATCTGCACATTTTAGCTGGAGGTAAAACGAAGGACGGATTGATCATAGATCATCAAATCTTTGGAGCCTGTATTCTGTACTAATCACTTCCCACTTCCGTATCCTCTTGTGTTATTTAATTAGCTAGGTAAAGGAAACTTTATGCTAAAATAATAAAATATTTGTGTTGTACTTTGATGACAGAATGCCTTATATTACATACAATGCCATCTTCCCAAGTCAAGAGTTTCTGATCCATTCAACTTCACATAAACCCTTGACCGAATAGGCTATGTTTGAATGGGTTTACTGTCACACCATCTAGTGAGATTACATATATTGAACTCTACTGACCTCTGCTATGAGCCAATCAAAGTAAAAAAAATTCAACAGAGTATTCACGATAATATTGGTAGTTGGTAATAATTCAATAGTAACTCAAATAAAAAGCTTAAACAAACCTTTAAATGGGATATTTAATGATAATTTTGATTGGTTCATGCAAACTTGCATGAGGCCAATCAGAGAATGCATTGCTAACCCCGTCAAGATGGTACAATTTCCTTAGGCTATACGCCATTTTGCTACAGAAAGTAATGGAAAACAGTGTACCTGTTACGTCGTACCTCGAAAAATGACGTCGAACAAGAGTAGACTGGTAGTTACATGGATGTGTTTCTATGGCTTTTTGTTGGATTTAAACTTAGTAGGACTTAAAAAAGTATTTGTAAGTGTTTGCATTTATCGTATTGAATGTGCATTGGTATATATTTTTCTTCAGGAAATCGGTACATCGAAATCTTTATTCATGAAAAACCAAGGCTACACATTGCCTACAGTGATAAACAGATTTCATAAACTCGGTGGAAAATTTGATGTTGCAATCGTAGCTGAGTATAGAGTTAAATACTTCAATAATTACGTTGTGATGCCATTAAACTGCAGAAATATACGGAATATACCGAAAGCCATTTGCACAGAAGGGTAAGTCAATGCCTGGCAAGATGAATAATGTCACAAAACCTTGACATAGTGAAGTTGGGGATGAAAATGTGTTCATGCAGTCAGCTTGTATTATTATCTTTGCTTTGTTGTTTTTATTTTCCACAGTAATTTTTAATATTTTCAGGTTAAAAAGAACATAAGAGGTGAAGATACATATGGCAGTCCTGTAATCAAGAAAACACGCCGTGCATCTTCTGAAGTAATGCCCTGCCCACCAGATGCCCTTCTTGCTCAACATATTGGAGAACTGTTAGCCTATCTTGACGACTCAGTTACACATATGGATCTTTGTGGAAGTGTTGGTAGAGATATTCTTGGATTTATGGTTGAAAAAACACAAGTATGTTAATTTTAATAATACTCTATGTTTACATAATATTTTTTACAGCCAAATTTTCTGTATAATTTTAAAATAGTTAAAAACCAGGAAAAATAAAAGAAGGTGACAAATTTTCAGATCCATTAAGATGATCATAGTGGATCATTGGAAGGTAGAATTTCCACTTTCATGCTTATGCAAGCTTTTGAGCTGCTTCAACATTTTTAGCTCACCTCTGCATTGTAGTAACAAAACCTCAGCATCCCAGTTTAAGTTTTAGGAATGGACTTCTTAAATAAGTGTCTAGCTCAGTTTTAAAGATACCATTCAAGATAGTGAAATCAAACTTCATATGTTGTTACATACTGACATAAGCTTTTCAACTGCATCAACAATTTTTTTACCTTGACCTTTCTTTTGACCTTGACTTCACTTTTTATATGCCGTCTTAAGACAGGATGTATTATGTTATAGGCTAGACTTGCTCAAGTCTCTATGTTTTAGTGCTCTCTTTCATACTTTTTGATATTGTCAAACATAGCTATGTTTGATAACATTTAACTATGAAAGAGAGCAGAGGACAGCAATACAAATAAGAACAAAGAATTTGTAAAACTAGATATAAAAAATAAACAATAAAAACAGAGAGACTTGAGCAAGTCTAGTTATAGGCTTCATGTCCGACCATCTGTCCATTCGTGTCTGGCTCATAACTTGAATACTATTAGTCCTAAGATTATCAAACTTTGTCAACTGATACTTCTTGGGTAGACAGTGTGTCGTGCACAAAAAGAAGGTTGCTCTGACCTTTAATTAAGATGCTATGGCCAAATATGGAAAAATCCTGTCCAGCTCATAACTAGAAAACTATTAGACCTAGAGCTTTCAAACTTGGCAAAAGTATGTACATCAAAGGTAGAAGGTGTGTTGTGGCCTATTTCAAAGTCACTGTGACCTTTAATTTAAGTGAATTTTTATGCGCCCTGATCGATAGATCTGGGGCGTGTATTGTTTTTGTCCTGTCTGTTTGTCTGTCTGTTGTCAACTTTAACCTTCTCCAAAACTTTTGAACCATAAGAGATAGAGACTTCTTATTTAGTATGCATACTCCACTAATAAAGTTCTTTCAAATGACATCAAGGTCAATGACCTTGTGACCTTGACTGTGACCTATATGCTAAAAATAGCTTTTTCAACTGTTTGTCATAACTTTTGAACCATAAGAGATAGGGACTACATATTTGGTATGCATACTCCACTAATAAAGTTCCTTCAAATGACATCAAGGTCAATGACCTTGTGACCTTGACTGTGACCTATATGCTAAAAATAACTTTTTCCACTTTTTGCTATAACTTTTGAACCATAGAAGATAGGGACTTCATATTTAGCATGCATACTCCACTAATTAATTTCTTTCAAACAACACCAAGGTCAATGACCTTGTGACCGTGACTGTGACCTATATGCTAAAAATAGCTTTTTCAACTTTTTGCCATAACTTTTGAACCATTGGAGATAGGACTTTATATTTATTATGCATACTCCACTAATTAAGTTCTAACAAACAACACCAAGGTCAATGACCTCGTGACCTTGACTGTGACTATTTGCTAAAAATAGCTTTATCAACTTTTTGCCATAACCTTTGAACCATTGGAGATAGGGACTTCATATTTAGTATGCATACTCCACTAATTAAGTTCTTTCAAACAACACCAAGGTCAGTGACCTTGACTGTGACCTACAGTACAGTCAACGCGGTTTGTGCATTTACAGCGCACCCCCGCGGTGTGAATCTCATCGCGGTTAGCACAGGTGTCTCAGATAAAAACCGCGTGCCCCCGCGGTTCAGTAATCCAGGTAAATCACACCGTGGCGGTGCATCTTACCGATTACAGGTGAAAAAACAGTCTTGGTCTAAAACGCGAGTTACTTCCCTTTAAAAATTTCAACCAAAACAAAATAAAAGGAAATTAATGATATTTTAAAATTTATAGTCGCTGAAATATTTTAAGTACAAAATGAAAATTATTTTTTCTAAGAAATATACTCTCATGTATCTGAATAATTATAAAAATTAGCGTTTACTAATCCTTGAATTACTTTTTTAAAATGTGTTCATTCTATTTAGATCCACGACTTTCGATATAAATTACTGTATGTGATATATTTATACAATGCAAGATAAAACACCCAGTGTGCTATTCATGATATTCATGATATTCAATAATAATTTATATTTTCGTAACGTGTTTTCTTTTTTAATTTTAAGAGTGGATTGATTAAAGAAACGATCTATCGCAGTGTCAATTTCATTGGGGCTATAAATGAAAGTGTTTTAAACTTATTTTAAAATCTTCAAATATAGGATTATAATTTGCAGAAGATTTTTATGTAATCAGCATTCTCCGAGTCGTCTGTTAAAGTGTCATTCCTTTATTCTGGGGCAATGTTCTTGAAATCAGTAGGGTGTGCATGCGTGTGTAATTTGATGGCCTACCAATCCGTAGAAAAAAAATAAAATTACATAATGTCTAGAGCTAGACCTGGTATGCATACTTGGTCCTCACAGCTGTACACTGGACAAGGTGCGATCCCCTGCACCAGCCCTACCCCTGGTATACACGTGCGTGCCCGAAAGCGGGTCAGTAAATTTCAACTGTCGTACATGTTTATCATACTTCACAATGACATTTACATTGATCATATAATTTAATACATATATGAATTAATTATTTAAATTTACGATATGCAGATTACCAGGATTACTTTCGTGTAAAAAGTTAATTTTGATGTAAAAATCATCCCCCTTCCCCCTTTTATCTACTTGGACACTATTAATGTGTCTTACACAAAACTCAGCACAATCACAACTTTGGATGGGGGTTATTTTCCCAATATCAGTAGATATAAGCTAAGTTGATTTAGAAAATATTGTTTTCATGTATGAAAATTCAACCAAAACAGTGCCAAAAAAACTACCAAGCTTATTTATGCAAAATTCTATTAGGACTATTTATATCGCGTAAACAAAAATTTACTGAAAAAGAAATTCTTAAACACCACAAACAATATCGGAACATTTTAGGTACATTTTGCATTAGTAAGTAATTTTTTGGTCCTTTTTAGATCTAGTACATTTATACACAGTGTACATGTAGCTGCACGGACTAATCGTGGTCTCCTTAGTAACTGGTGTATTCCTGTGTATCGAGCGCGTTCAAGCGGAGAGGGATTTCCTGTCTCACAGTGACACTAATTTCACACCTTTGTGAAAGACAAAGGATTTGGATTTTCGCAACATTTTGACAGTTTTAAAATATAAAATCATATACTGGGTGGATTATTATTTCCCCCCCCCCCCCCCCCCCCCCCCCGGGCTCCCCTTCTGCTGTCTGCATGAACTTCATATTTTTTTTAAAACATAAGGTTGTATGTTTCAATAGCATTAATTTTACATTTGGATTCACAAAAAAGAAAGACTGATCTTCATAAATTTAAATGACTTTCCTGTATATGCTTGGTCTTCTACAAATACAAAAAACTGGAATGTTAAAACCGAGGGCTGTCCTTTATTTTGCTAAATTCTGAAAACGGCAACAAAACACGCTCAAAGACATAATTTAGATTGAGGACAGGTTGAAGAATACAATTTAACTGTTTTCACGAGTACACTCGCAGGTGGACATCACGTGATGAATTGTAATATTAAACAGGTCAATCGAAGACATAACAATGGAAGCGAGACGTTTCATTCGAACATATTTTTTGTAAAATTTAGTGTGAGCACACGTTTGTCAGCTCTTCTCCTTTTAATATAGCATTATTTTGTTCAATATACAACTACAGTTTTCTTAAGAACAGCTAACAAACATGTGCTGACTATGTACTGTAAATCACTTTTTATTCGCGAGAACTTTATTTTGGCGTAATTACGCGAGACAGTGTGCTCGCGAAAATTTAATTCCCGCGTATAATAGTATTCCTTAAGATTATATAAAGCAATAACCAAAATTCGTGAAAATTTTGTATCGCTAATCAAGAGTCAATGACTATCTTGCGAAAATAAGGTGTCGCGAAAATTAAGTGATCTACAGTATTCAGACGATGAAAAACGCTTGACCCTGATTATCTATTGATATTCAAGAAATCTTCAGGCACCATGCCTTCGAAAATTATTTAGTTAACCTCGAAAAAAGCGTTTAAAATTCACATCCGTACCATGAATACACGGCTAAGATATCGGGGGTTTATATGATGGCAAAAAGTAAACATTTTGTGAAACTTAAATTTACGGCTTTTTTTCTGGCCAGTTAAGTCCACCCTTTCTTTAAAATTTAAAAGACTTAGTTTTTAAAAAACAAGATGTGTTTGTGAAACACTATGCGCCCGACATCAACAAAATTCAAAACGCTATTTTTAGTATATACAGTACGGTCAACACGGATTAGGCATTAAACCGCGCTCCCCCCGCGGTGTTTTGATCCTTTCCACGATACACCCCGCGGTTATTTCATCGCGGTCCTACCTGTAGCCAGGTATAGACCGCGGCGGTGTGACTTACCGTTGACTGGCTTATCGGATATTTCTTTTACCTGTACGGCCGTATAATATCTATAACTGCGTATTGTTCAGTCTGTAAAATTGCAGGTTTTAAGTAAAAAAAATCGGGATGTTAAAAATATTATACAATGTTACTACTACCCGAAGAATTTAACAAAAACAAAAACAAAACAAAACAAAACAAAAACAAAAACAAAACAAAAAAAAAAACAACAAAAAAAAAACAAGAAAAAAAAATCAAATAGTGTATGATTGTTTTTCAAGTTATTCTGATGTTAAAAATTGATAAATGTAAGTTTTTAAAACATGTTTTTAAAAAATAAATTATATCCTCAGCATAAGCGTAAACTTTATTTCTCTAAATTAATGACTATATACCGTGTATCACTTTTACAATGAAACGCATTCATGTTTCGATAAATATTCGATGGATGGAAGAGCTAGATATTCTGAAA